GAGTTGCAAACCTTCAGTACTTTGCACGTCTACAAAAGTGCTAGAGGAGTGTCTTTCAAGCTCGAGCGGCGTTCCTACGCTCAAGCAGGTGGGCGCTTGAGCGTCATTTCTTGAGTTCGAGTGGTTGGTTTGTCGTCTGCAAAAGTTCTGGAGATGTATATTCTACGCTCGAGCAGGCCTCTTCTTGCGCTCGAGCATAACAAAAGTTTGTGTCGACGCTTGAGCGTCAAACTCTCCGCTCGAGCGGACTGCACGTATATCAGATCGCGAAAAACACTTTTTACATCACTTTTTCATATATTTTCACCCAAAACCCTAAAATTGAGAGTTTCTCTCTCTCAAACTCATATTCTCTCTACATTTTGACCTAGATCCTTTGATCTCTACACCCTTCTGCCTTCATTAAAAAGGTAGAACTCTTCAAGCTCTTCACTTTGATCCGAGTAGAAGTTGGTTTCGTTACTTTTGAAGTTCCATCCTTGCTTGACTCATCTTCTATCTTTGAGATAGGGACATTCTACACCTTAATATGGTTTTTAACCTAGGTAATTGTTGTTTTGTATAAATTGTGGGATTTTGGAGGATTTGAGTAAAGTTAGAGTTTAAATTCAAAATTGAAAGAGGGGTTTTCCATGTTGTTTTTAAAAAATGACTATGGGGCTTGTATATGAGATTCTCTAGTGTTAAAATGGTAAAATTTAGCCTTCGGGTTGATATTTAAAAAAGGGAAAAATTTGCCATAATTTGAGTTGGATAACCAAATTGTCTAAATAATGAAATTGATATGGGAAACGTGAAATTGAAAGGATATGTGAATGAACGGTGTAGTTAGATTTGTTAAATTACTCACCTATGGAAATTTGATAAATTATTTGTTTAAAAGATTGTGTATCTGTCTAGAAATATATGTTTTGGACTATTGGTGGAGGATAACTATGATTGTTGTAGACATTGTATGAGGATTAGATAAATTGAAACCTATCATTTAAATTGTGTCATTAAATATGACGGTATGATTGAGACATTGAATATGTGTTGTGGATGGTCATTGTATATGACGATATTTTTATACATTGTATATGTATAATTGTTTGGGAGAAGAAAGGGGATGTACTACACTGTTTGGGAGGAGATAGAGGATGGACTCCATTCAAAATTAAATTGGTCGGAGTGTCCAGGGTAAAAGTCCCGAAATCTTGTATATATATGGGTGCCAGTTCCCTCAGATGAGAGTTCCGTAAAATGGCAAAATAGAAGTGTTGGAATGATGAATGTATTGAATTGTGAACCGTTGAGTTGTAGTCTCATTTTGGTTGATTAGATAATAATGAACTTGGTTAATGGATTAACCCGAAATGAATGAATGGAAATGGATTGAGATATGGTCATCTATATTGAATGGTTAAGGAAAGAATTTAAGTTGATCATGATTATGAAACATTTATTTGACACTTAGTTAAACCTCATATACTGTGTTAGTTTATCTCTACTGGGCTTTGGCTCACCCTACTTGGGAAAACATTTTCAGGTACTGGTGACATGCCACCACATGGCTTGGGAGAATTGATGGCTGAAGGCTCTATTTTTGTTATTTTTGTGCTTAAATGTTTATTCAAGCCAATGGCTTAACTTGTATAGAGCTTATGACTCTTTCTTTTGTTGTAACCAAGTGATATCTTGAAAAGACGTAAGCCCGTAGGGTATTTATTTTGTTATCGTTAATGTGAACTACATGCTGTAAATTCAGAATGAATGTTTATGAATTTATAATGTATGCAATTCCCTTTTGCAATAGAAACTTTGATGAATGAAGTAGATCATTTTATTATGTTCATAGATCTTATGGAATGGATTGTTGTATTATATTTTGGGGGCGTGACAATTATGATAATTTTAAATTTGTATTTAAAACTTATAAATCATTGGATAGATCATTATAATTTTAAATTTATATTGTGCCAATTTTAAATTTAAATTAATAGATTGTTTTTTATATTTAGTGTCTCTCAAATTTAAATTTTGAAATGGATTAGTATACTCTTTTTTTTTTTTTAGATTTGATATACTTTTCATTTGAAAGTCATAAATCAAGGAATATTAATTTTTATTTATTTATTTATTTTTGCTTGAATAAGAGTTAGTCAATATAATATTTTTTTAATTTTTAAAAATCCAAAAAATAATGAAATTTAGATTGGAAACTTGGAGCTTCCACAAGGCTGGGTTGGAACCCCCTTTTCCTTATATAATAGATAGATAGATAGATTTAATAAGAATTTATATTTGTTTTAGATATTTTTTAATATACAAATTATTTTTTTAGATTTTTTTTATAAAAATAATTTAACAATTCCATCAATAATCATAGTATATAGAAGAAGTTGAAAAGGGTGTAAGTATGCGATAAGTCAATAAATGTTGAGGTATTATTTTTTTTTTAAATTAAAAAATTAAAAAATTAAGATTGAGATATTGGAGCTTCTATAAGACTTGTGGATTAAAAATTTCATTTTCATTATATAATATATAGATTATTCTTGATGTTATTAGTAATTTTATTAAAAGAAATGTTAATTTTTAATTTTAACAAATTAATCAAATCAGCTGCAAAAATATAAAAAAAAATTATGGACAATATAGGCAATAGGGGTGAGTATGGTCCGGATTGGACTGGATTGGGGTAAAACCAAGACCAATCTGTTATCTACGGTTCCTGAAAAATTGGAACCTAAATTATGGAATCAATCCATTTAAACACAGATTGGATCGGTTTCGGACCACAGATTCACATAATTAAATAACAAAAAAATATATATAACACTTTAATTTCATAAAAACATAAACATAGGGCTATATTAGTTCCACAATAGTAACATATTTTTCTATAATGGCGACATACTGTTCTAGAATTTAAATAATCATAAGAAAACTAGTTTTACCATAAGTATTTAGACCATTACAAATTAAAACTAAAAACTAACAAACAAAAATAATAAAAAAGATATTATACAGGTTTAGGTTTGAGTTTAGGTTCTATATAGAATAAGAGAAGATACTATGGGGAGGATGTATAATAAAAATATAAACTATTTGTATACGGTCCGGATCGGTTCCAATCCGGAACCTGGGGTTCAATTCGGAACCAATCTGTGAACTATGGATTTTTAATTCTTTAATCTGGAACCAAACCACGGATTTAAAAAATCAATCCAAACCTATCGGATTGGACTGGACTGGATCGGATTATGGATTTCACGGATTCCTTGCTTAGCCCTAATAGGCAAGTCAAACTTAAGTCCTCGTTTGGCCTGAAAAGACGGCAAACTTTTTGGCTAAAATGTCTCAAAAAAGACATAATAGATTAAAAAGTCAATAAAATAAAATATCATATCTAAATTATAATTATTTTATTTTATTTTTTTTTACAAAAATTAAAAAAGCCAAGGAGCCCAACTCAAACAAGACTTTTTAGTCACAGACTAAAATAATTAAAAAGTCAAAAAGTAACTTACTTTTCAAATGAAGCCAGGTTAGACTTGGGCAAATAGTCTTAGGTTGCGAGTCAGACTTATGCCTCGTTTGGAAACAAGCTAGTTTAGTAATTTTTTAATTTTTTAACTAAAATATGAGATAAAAAAATTAGTATATTTATAATGACTTTTGATTTTTTCAGAAAATATTTACAAAAAATAGAGAGAAAAGAAAATTTTTAATTTTTTAATATAAGTTATAAATTTTTTTCATTTTTTTAATAATTTTTTAATTTTTAAATTAAAAATGTTACATGCCATTACACTGAAGTTAATAAGATAAATATATTCAGTTTGTTTGATTCCAGTTTTCAGAAAATAATTTTCAGAAAATTTTACATTTTTATTTTTCATATTTTAATATTTTCAATAAATTTTTTTAATATTTTAAGTATTTTTTTTAATTTTTAAACACACCTAACATAAATATAATTAAAAAGTATAATATTTGTGAATTTTTTTAAAAAAAATACATTAAATACCAAAAAATACAAAAAAATCAATATATTTTCGTATTTTTGTGTATTTATTAATTTTTAATTTTTAAAAATATTTTTCACAAATATTTTACTATTTTAGATACATCTAAGTAAGGTGCATCTAAAAAAGCAAAAAAATTACGTAAAATTTTAAAAATATTCACTAAAAACAAAAGAACTCAGTTTTAAAAAAATTAAATTCAGAAAACTGAAATCAAACACACTGAATATTCTTACCTTTGAAAATAAATAAATGAAATTCACCAAACCTTCACATTGCCTCTATCATGCTTTTATCTTAATAGTATTTGTGAGGTGGTTGGCGATTTCATTTTATGTGAACAAAAATTTCAAACCAAAAGCAATTTGAAATTTAAAATCATAATTTTTTTTTAAAGAAGAATTAGAAAATTACCTGTTTAATTTTACATTTTTACCTACAGCTTCACTAAATTTAAATTTTGTCTTCATTTTAGAATTTTGGTAGAATTTTTTTACTAGGCAGATATTACCCTAACATCTTTATAGTTTTTTTAAAATGATAAAGTCTTATATCATTTTGTATATATCTTCTTGTATGATTTTGGACACATTATTATTATTATTTATTTTTTTTGGGTGTGGATATTTATAATGAATTTATAAATTCATACCCTTCTTTGTATTCTTCGCCATTTTCTCGGCAGCTTTTGTTTGGAAGTTTCAGAATTGTTCTTTGGCGTTGACGTCTTTATATATACATACAATATTAAATCATCATTAATTTAATTCAGATGTAATTACCACTTTACTACGCTCCTAGTCAATGTCTGATAGCAATGTTGTGCATCCAACAACGTAAAAAACACGGACTTTGATCATATTCAATGGCCATAATATAACATACTCAAGAAATGGGAAAATTACAAGTTGAACACTTCACATAGCATTTATTTGGTAACAGAGAGTGTTCTTTGTTTTTGATCTTCTTTGCCATCTTCCCAAGAAATCAATGGTTGTGTCAACAACAATGAGGAAAACATCATCAATTTATACCTGGCTCTCTCTCTTGATCACCATCTTCTTCTCTGCAACTTCAGTCTCTTCTTCACTCTCCTACTCTGATCACTGCTCGTCACTCGTCCCCGAATCAACTCCAACTGTTGTTGACAATCCCATGTTCCCTCTCTTCAGAATCCTAAGAAGTCATTACACAGGCGGTGACGGAATTCCAGGCAACTTCTCATACCGATTCTCCCAGAACCAAGTCTTCTTCCAACCAAGCCAACACATCTTCAAAACCAACACAACCGGCGTTTACAAGATCGGGGCCTACTTGATCTTCAGGCACTCGAGCGCCTACATTTATCGCCCTCCCAATTCAACCCATGGCCGGTCTCACTATCCTCAGAATCCTCACAGGACAGGTCCATTGAAGTTTTCATTAGATGGGTTCTGGTCACAGAGCTCTGGAAAGCTATGTATGGTTGGCTCGGCTTCTTGGTATTCTGAAGAAGGTAAGATTCTCAATCTTGATGCAGTTCTTAGTTTTGCAATGAATTCGACTATTTTTCCTAGTTTGGTTACTGGGAAATTGGACAGCTTGAGCTCTCCAACCGACCTGAATTTCTTTGAACCAATTTCAATCTTGGCTTTTGTTTCATCATTTAAATACAATTACAAATTGGTTCCAAAGGAAGTTGATAGGGGGTGTCCTGGTGGGAATGATATTCCGCAGAACCAATCGCTTGGTTTCCAACGGAGAAAATTCTGTTCAATGCTACAGCGGGGAATGAATACCTTCAAGTTGGAGTATACCAATGAGTGTGTTTCATGGAAGAATTGTACTCCTCTTGGCCAGGGAATTGAGTATCTGCCTCTTGTGATGTCGCTGAGCACAATTCAGTGCTCTGAGTATGAACACAAGGTGCAGTACTCGGTAGGATTCGGAAACAATAGTGATAATGGGTATATCCGAGCTTTTGATCCCACGACATTGCTAGTTGCAGAAGGATCGTGGGATGGGAACAAGAACAGACTATGTATGGTTGCTTGCCGGATCCTGCATTCCACCCCTTCTCTAGCAAGCCCCCATGTTGGTGATTGTTCGATCAGGTTGAGCTTTAGATACCCAGCTGTCTGGTCAATCAGAGACAGATCAAGCATTGTTGGGCAAATTTGGACTAACAAGACTGCTAATGAGTCAGGGTACTTCAATAAGATCACGTTTGGAACCTATGACAATAGGAATGGCGGGGTTTCAGGATCTTTGGGTTTGAGATATGAGTACACTGAAACTGACAGAGTAAGAAAGTCATGCCTGGCAAAAATGCAGCCTGGGAAGAAGAACTGGACGGGGGACAGATACCCGAAGGGGAATTCTTATGATATGAGTTTCGACACTTCAGTTAAAGATTCCATGGGAAAAATTGCCTGGGGTTATGCAGTCCCCATCTTTGTGGGTAATGAAAGTTATGGTCAATACCATTATGTGCTTGTCTCAAATTCAACGCACAAGAAGCCTGAAGTCGAGGAAAACAAAAGTTTTAGTGGCCCATTGAATATCAGCTACGAGATCAGCATCATGAGATTGCATTCTCCAATCCCTGGGATTTCTTCATCTAATTTATCTTTCATTTCCAAAGGTAGAGTGGAAATTTTTGCTGAAGGAGTCTATGATGATGAAACAGGAAAGCTCTGTATGGTAGGCTGCAGAAAGGTCAGTCCAAATGATTCTATGGACTGTGAGCTGCTTTTGAAATTCCAATTCCCACCTGTAAATGCAAAGAGAGGAGGGATTATCAAGGGAAGCATCGAAAGCACACGAAAAAAAACTGATCCTCTTTTCTTCGAGTATTTGACCTTGTCTTCGATTGCTTTCTACACCGGGGAAGCGAACAAAGCTGTAAAGAGGATGGACTTGGAGATCATCATGGTTTTGATCTCCAACACACTGGCATGTGTGTTAGTGGGATTACAACTCTTTCATGTGAAAAGAAACCCTGATGTGCTTCCTCTCATATCCATTGTCATGGTTGTGATCCTCACTTTGGGGCACATGATTCCTCTTGTGCTCAACTATGAAGCTATGTTCTTTGGCATTCGCAATCGCCAAAATGTGTTCCGTGGGAATGATGGGTGGGTCGAAGTGAACGAGGTGATTGTGAGAGTGGTTACAATGGTGGCTTTCTTGCTTCAATTCCGGCTTCTACAACTGGTATGGACAGCGCGTTTAGGAGATGAAAACCGTAAGAGCCTGTGGATTGCTGAAAAGAAAACTCTGTTTGTGTCTCTACCATTATACATTGTTGGGTTATTGATTGCTTGGCTCATGAATCTGGGGAAGAACAACCAAAGCATTGTAATGGGTTCTTCTCTTCACCAACAACACTCACTTTGGGGCGCTTTGAGGTCTTATGGTGGTTTGATCCTTGATGGGTTTCTTTTCCCTCAAATTCTGCTCAACGCGTTCAGATTTTCAAAAGAAAGTGCCCTGTCTCATTCGTTCTACATCGGAACCACCTTTGTTCGCTTGTTGCCACACGCATATGATCTTTACAGGGCTCAAAACTATGCTCGTCCCCATCTTCATGGTTCATACTTCTACGCAAATCCTAGCGCGGATTTCTATTCCACTTCATGGGATGTCATAATTCCTTGTGGGGGAGTGTTGTTCGCAGCCATCATTTTCTTCCAGCAGCGATTTGGAGGCCGATTTATCCTTCCCAGGAGATTTAGGGAGGCAGAGGGATATGAAAAGGTGCCTGTAGTGAGCAGTAGTGAGTGAAGTGTTTAAGTGGAAATAAGTTTCTTAGATTTTCAGTTGCTTTACAAGTTGTGTTTGTATCTTGAACAAGAAAAACTGCATAGTTGCAGTAAGGTTTAGTCTCTCTCTCTCTCTGGTGTATGCAATATTTAATTACCTATTTTGCTGTCATCAGTTCAATATCTTTAGGTAGATGATCTGCTTCAAAGAATATGGACTTGGGCTCCAGCAGTAACAATGGTGAGTGATTACTTCCCAGCAATTAGGATGGTATTGCCTTACATCCATCTCATTATGAAAAAAAAATAATATTCCACTGTCAATCCACAAACAACACAAAATAAAAGATTCAATTATTCAAGTTTCTTATCAAAAAAATAAATTTAATATGAAATGTAAAAAAGAAAAAAAGTATTAGAATTGCATAAAGATACACAAAATTAAATATTACATTAAAATATATAAATTACAAAACTATGGGAACTCATCACCAAAATATACTCAAAAGGTAAAATTTTAAGCAAAAAAAATATAGTGAACCCACAATGGCCAAATTAAATTACTCTGAAATTCTCAAATAGGAAAGAGTTTTTTAGTTTGGAGGGAAATTCTTTATGACAATGATACACACAAAAAAATTTCTTGCACATTTTTTTTGTTTTTATTTTTCCAATTTTGGTACATAATATTCACCATTGATGCAATAAAAAGAAATTCAAAAATTCTCTAGCTGTCTTGGTATTATATTTATTATATCACCTGCAAAAAAATTAAAATTTAGAAAAAAATTACAAATGTGTGAAGTATTTCAGCCATATTTATAACAATATAAAATTATATATATAAAGAAAGAGATAGGGGAAAGAGAAAGAGCAACATAACAGACTAATTATGGAATACAAACCATTGGGTCTGAGATAAAAAAGTAACAACCAATTAATAAATTTAGTATTCATGTTGGCTTTGTTTGATTTCATTAATAGTTTTGTATGTGTTTATAATCAATTGAAATATAACTGTTTATATAAGAGGAGAGAGATGTGAAATTGGATAGATAAATATAGATTATCTTTATTATATATTCAAATTTATATTTAAATTATTTTAAATTTTGTTGATAGATATATATTATCTTTATATAGATTTTCAATTCAAATATTTTTAAAATTTTTGATAACTTTCTTTTTCTTTTTTTCCTTGTTGATAAGTTTGTACTCAGATCAATGTTTTAAGAATCGGACCGAGGCGGCCGGTTCAATCGGTAGAATCGGTGACCAGACCTAGTTCCAGTCCGAAAGATCCCAAAAATCAGACTAGGCCAAAAACTGGCCTTGTTTGCAAAAACCAAAAAAATCTATGGTTCAACCAGTAAAACTGGCGCTAGTTCTATTAAAAACTCTTACTTCAAGAGTCTCCTCTCATGAGGAGGAGTCTCATTGGGAGCTTGAAAAAATTGTGAAAGTCTATTGCTATTTATAAGAAAAAAAATTGTTCAAAGAAAACCTAAAAACTCAATGTGGGATTCAATTAAATTGTTTGAATCATATTTGATTGAAGGTGTCACGACCCGTTCCTCATACCCAAGGGTTAAGTATCGTGATGGCCAGTAATTGAAGTTACCTCCGGCCAATTCTTGAACAAATTAATAAACGCGAGCGGAAATAATATTTAAGTGAGGGTACCGAAATAATCATTGGAGCTTTTATTTTTATTATAAAATTTGTTGACCAAAAGGCCGATATTTACATATAAAAATATCATAAAAGTGTTGTTTGTGTTTATTTCGCAGCCTCACGTCTAAGACTTTCCAAAAACTATTTCTGAATTGCATTGTTTCTTGAAAATTGGTAAACATCTATAAGCGCATGGCAGAGTGAAAAATATTATGCCAAGAGTACAAGGGACACAAAATAACTATGGATAATTATGTTACTAAAATATTTAAGATAACTTAGTCTAAACAAATAATCATTTAAGTAGCAAAACTGAGATTATGTAAATAAATAACCATAACCACTGTACTGAACAGAACAGAACAGAGGTCACAGGAGTGACAGTCAGAATAGAGGTACGGATTCAATAGGTGGCTCGTACGGATTATAGAGGTGGCTCTCACAATAGTGTAGTACTTATCTCCGCACAACACTTTACTCTGCACAGAACATAGGTCAATAGATCCATGACAACAGAGGGTCACAAAGTGACCAAACAGAAACCAATGGTTATTTAAGTCCTCTAAGGCGTGAGACGCCTGTGGTGGTACTTCCAAAACATAATTATTTATAAGGTTATAGTCAAATATTCTTTAAATTATAAACAAACATATCCATAGGTTTCATTTTAACAAATAGAGTTTAGAAATTAATCCACGTAATCGAAATATTAATATAATTTGTTATGATAACTCAAAACATAAATATCCACGTAATTGAAATATTAATATAATTTATAAAACATAACTTGTATAAAATAAATATGATAAATCAAAACATATGTAAAATATGTTATGATAACTCAATATGTAATATAACTTACCTTAAAAGTACCTTACTCTTTCTTTCCACTACCAAAAACCCTTATAACTTCCATTATTTTCTTCCCCTTTTCTTCGCTTCATTTTCCTTTATTTCTGTCTCTTTTTTCCTTTTCTTCCCACAATTGAGTAGCTCCTTAGGGGGTAAGAACATTAAGTAGCCCGCGTATCCCTCTCCAGATTTCATAATAAATTACACGAATTTATACTTCTCTTTAATAAATATTTAAGATAATTATATTTTAGCTCAATTTTCTAATATAATTATACAAATAAATTAATCTCTAATTAAATTACACTTTATTGTATACCAATAGAAAATTAATTATTTATTTTACTATCTTACTCATTATTATTATTATTATTTATTTATTTATTCTTACTTTTATATTTATTTATTTACTATTTTTAACTTTAATTTAGCCCAATTAGTATTATAATTTCATATTTCTATTACTTTGGCCCCAAATAATAATTCCTAATTAATCTCATATTTGATAATCCATTGCCAAATTAGATTCTGTATTTATTATTATTTATTTCACAATATATCATCACATACGACTATAGTTCTAGTATAAAATTAAGGGACAACTTAAATTTCCGGATTGTTACAGCTGTAAAGATTTGGCTCTATTAATTGCTTGCTTTTCTATGGACAGTTACTAGTGAAAGAAATGAAGTGGAAATGGAAATGTCAAAACTTTCCACATTGATACACCAACTTTATATGGAAAAAATGAACCTACCTTTCAAGGTAAACGCCAAGAATATGAAAAAAATGAACCTACCTTTCACGATAAAAGCCACTACCTCTCTAAAGCTGTGTAACAATCACTACATCTCTGTCTTTTTTCACAAGAATTAGACGGTTAAACCAGTGACCCGTCCATCCGATCCCTTTTTCGATTTGCTCACCGGTCTAATTTTCAAAATATTGATTCAGATAACTATTATTCTAAGAGCTTATTATTGTTAATAGTTTTTATTTTAAATGGAAGTGATGGGAGGAGAGTGAGTTTGAAACTTAACTGCCACGTAATTTTTTTTATGAAATTTTAGATTTCATAAGAAATTAAGAATAGAGATTTGGAGGCTTAAGAACACACCCACTACATTTGCTTATATATATAATAACTAGCATATCACCCGTGCTATGTACGGATTGTGTTTACAATTATCTATATATGTGAATTGTGATTTTTAAATATATATTTTTTTATTTTTATTTTAAATGTCTTCTTTTTTTCCTTTTTTATATTATATTAAAGTTTAATATTTTGATAATAATCATATTTGTTAGACTTTTCAAGGAATTAAATGTCTTATTTTTTATTATATTATATTAAAGTTTAATATTTTGATAATAATCATATGTGTTGGACTTTTCAAGAATTTTTTTTTAGGTTTGTTCTTAATGCATTAAAATGTTATGATGAGGGATAATAATCATATGTGTTGGGACTTTTCAAGAAATTTATATGTGTTGGATTTCAAAGATTTTTTTTTATGCTTGTTCTTAATGCATTAAAGTGTTATTATGATGGTAAAACTTGAGAGTTGGGAGAAGTTAATAAATGCTAAGATTTTTTTTTTTAAATCAAAAAATCAGAAAATTTAGATTGGCAGATTGAAGCTCCCACAAGACTTGGGGTTAAAAATCCCCTTTTGCTTGATATATAGTATAGAAGTATAGATATAGACTAGTAGTAAACTCGTGCTACGCACTGGATGTGAAAAAATTAATAACATATTTTCATATAAAATAATATAAATAGTTAGATTTTTGTATGCAAATTATGAACATTAAAAATATTGAAACATACAATTTAAGTTTCACAATTTATGTATCAATTTTTTATTTGTTAGACTTGCAAACTTAGGCGAGTTCAACTCAAACAACTCAAGTTAAACCTGAAATTTTATAAAGATTAGATAACATAGTTTTTAATTCGATGAGAACTTAGGTAGAAATTCAAAAATTCGAATTAAATTTGAGTGGACCAACTGAAACAAAACTGAATGTATAAATATATAAAATTATTGCCACTTTATTTTTTTAAATAATAAATAAAATTAATTACAATTTTAATATTAATGAACAAAAGCAAAAGCAATATGCTTAAATTTTTTAGCAGAACTTTTTTTTTTTTTGTTAATGAAAATGTTTAAAAATACACCTTTTAGAAATCATTGAACAAGTTGATATTAAAAAAAATTCCAATTTATTTATTATGAATAAGATTTTTTTAAAACGGAACACAAATATAAAATAAAGGGTAAATTATAATTTAACCTACAATGATTTGTCTCAAAAATACTGAGCTCTTTTATAATTTTATTTGTAATACTTAAATCTCCCTATATTTTATATCAGAGTACAAAATTCAACTGACGTAACAGAAGTTGTAAAAAGTCAGGAATACTCTTAAATATTTTACATCTCTCAGTCGTTTCGTTTCATTTGACTAACACCAGTATTCGCATC